TGGATGTCTTTTTCTTTATCAATTCAATGAAGATAGCACAAGGCTTAGTAAAGGAAAGCCGAGTTTCTTGGGACTGTCTTTTATCCTACATCATATAACTTGAGGATGTAGGATATAACTGATCTAAGATTCTAAAAGAAGATCTGTGTGTCTGATTAATATTGCACATTTCAGTCCGTGGTCCTCTGACTGGCTTGTAATGGAGTTAGGATGAAAAGGCGAAAGGATGAATTTCACAATGCTGTTTAAGTTGTAATAGCAGCAAAACCCAGCTAACTTCCTGTGCAGCTAGAAAGCATTTCTCTACAAAAACACATGCAGAGATCTTCTACCTCATACCCAGGGGTGAGTCAAACGGTGAGAAATGTTAAATGTGTTCATTCAGGCCCCCAGGTTTGAGAACATGTACTAAATACACAGATTTTTCTGGAAAGCTTTGAAGCAATGGAACTGGTGTCAGTGGGAGTCCTTTGTATCGATGACAAATTTGGGGTTGCCTGGGAAAACAGAAGCCTGATTCAAATGGTGCTGTGTCTGGGACCTGCAAGAACAGCGTCTGGAGCTGCCTTCTGGTACTCGGAGGTGAGACTCTGGGGCGGCTGCGTTTCCAGTGGGCGCAGCACCTCCCTTCCTTGAAAGGCCTCTGTCCCAGCTGCAGCTGCAGGGGCTACAGCAGAACTGCCCCCAAACCTGGGGCTGCTGTTACCTTTTCCTGGAGAGCCATGCCGGGACCCAGTGGAGCTTCCCTGTTTCCATGTTCACTTGCAGAGAAAATAAGTACTTCCCTCCTCACGTTCCGAGGAGTGAGGCTTTCTTTCTTAGGGGAAGGTCTTGCCTTGTCTGTGGGCTCTCTGGATACTGAGAAGTTATTAAGACTCATGGCAAAGACTTGGATTGGACAGAAGGGAGACAGGTGTGGGGTGAGCTTCCCCCTTCAGGCAGCTTGTGCAGGCTGCTTCCCTCCCGATCTCAAACTCCCACCCACTGTTATTCCCATTTTAAACCTCTCTGGAGCAGAAAGCAGTATACTCCTCGCTCTTTAGTAACCAGTACTTACTAAAACAAACAAAACAGACAGGGTCCCTGGATGCCAAAGATAAACTAATCTCTCTATACCACCTCCTCTCCACCATTCTCTACAGCTCTGTAAATACTGGATTTTCTGTTTGGGGGATTGTGATACTTATCTAATGAGAGAAAACTCAAGGCAGGATACTGAACCCAGGGTAGCCAGAGCTGCAGCCTCAGGCCTGCCCGGCTTTGGACATTCTGACAACTCCTCACCCTGTAGGCCTAACAGTGATAACTTTAATTTCAGTAAACGTATTTAGCCACCCGGGATATTTACTCCAAATGCTACTGCATTTGACCTTCAAATACGATAATGTTTCGGGCCTAAGATCTGTTTTTTTGCAGCTAGAACAAGAAGGATGGGATGCTTTTCCTAAGATTAGGAAACTATATAAAATTAATCAATAGAAGGAAGAAGCTGGTGGCTGAAGCAGAAGCTATTAAAATTATCTGGAATTAAATAACCATCTTATTGCATGGTAATGTGGTATTTTTATAATGCATTTATTCCTTTTTGATGCCCCACATTTTATATATTTTTCTCTGTTTAATATCGCAGCAATAAGTTCCCAATGTTTCTAAATAGGAGACTCCCTTTTCTCACCAAAACAAGTATTAAAATTTCACTTAAATCTATGATAGCAAATGTACCCTTATTAGTAGCCATTTGACTATAGAACAACATTTCTCAGAATTTAGTTATACTTTTACAACACACTTTATCATCATAGCATCTACATAAACTTATAAACAGGACTCCATGATCTAGAAAGACAAACTTATTCAATCTAAAAACAATGCTTTACCCACGTGTAGGTTCATGAACCATTCAAGTTGCATATGGACCACAGGTGGGAAATGGCTGATCCTGAAGTACTAAATTTATAATTTGTGTTGTAATTTCGGAGGGATCATACGTATCTTTTACTATCTATGGTTTTTAAGAAGAAATTTATTTTGTCCTTAAAGATTAGTCTAATTTTTCTAATCTGATAAACACCCCGGGGCATTAGATCTGTTTCCTAATTAAACAGTACTTGATGGGAAATCTGGAGCAGGACTCTGAGGGGAAGGAACATTGCTCATTTCGATAGCCACAGTGAAAATTCCCCATCACAAAAAATAAAAATTGGATCCAGTTAAAACAGAACTAAATCGTGATTATATCTGTCCGCAAGCTGATTAATAATTCTGTTAACATGTGGACATATATGACCTTAAAAGAGGTGCACAGGAACCCCTGACAATAAAGAGAACAGCCATGCGAGCGAGTGAGTGGGTGTAAGGGAGTCAATTTTAGTGTTTCCCAGGAATACAGGCGACTGTTTGCTAGTATGTATTGAGGCTGGGGCAATGTCGCGTTGGACATCAAATCCTTCTGGTTGAATTAGGTACAGACTAGCTCTCAAGGGACCTGCTGTGTTTTAAAACACACATAGAAGTAAATGAAACACAGCATTTTAGTGTAATGACTTTCTTAGTGAACATTGACAGACATTTAGTGAAGAACAAAACTTTTGTCATTGCAATTGACAGTTACGAAATCATGGGGTTGGACAGTGTGTAAGGCATGTTTAGGGAAGGTAAGAAGCAACGAGATTCTATATTTTCTGGGAGAAGCACATTGAATACATAACGAGAAGCAATGTGTATACAAAGTCAGATGATTAAGGTTGTGACTCATCCCGGAAAAAGCGTCACATACCTTATTGCTGAATATCACTACCGTTACCTTCAAGGTTCTCCTTGGGAAATTAGGAAAGTGAAAATCCCAGGGCCTAGTCACCAGATGGCCAAGGGGAGTACTTTGAAGGTGACCATAGTGATAATTCAGCAATGAGGTATGTAGCACTTTTTTCTAGAATGGGTTCATGAGCTTAATTGTTAGAATTCGTATAACAGTAGGTGAAGACAATTAAGAAATATACAAATGGGAGGGGGGTGAGCTTACTTAAAGAGTGTTAGACTCAGAAGAAGAACTGTGGGTTCTGATTTTGTCTGTGGCTGACTGTGTGACTGCCTGTTCTTGCCAAGGACACCACTGTCCTGTTCCCTAGTTTGTTCAACTCAGAAGAGAGGCAGCTATTCTAATAAGGTAAAGCAGAAGTCAAAAATTCATTCATAAGCACTTATACATCCCCAGATAATGTGTTCAGCATATGTTTGAGAGAAATATTAAATTTGATATAACTTAGAGATGAGATTTTTTTTCTCTGTTAAAGATACAGCATAGGTTCTCAGATATGTGGAAGAACTACCTTCTGCTCAGATACTGAGGTCAACATTTTCACTATTATATTTACTTTAGAGCCTTTATATCCAGAATGTTCTATAATCAATATCAGAATTTCTACATCAGCCTGTACTTATTTGGCTTGCCTGCCTTTCTAGGTTTATAGATATGAAATGTCAAAGCAGTACCTTCATCATAAATGTGACTCTCACATACAATTTTTGAAGTATTCATTCTTACAGTTTTAAAATGATTAAATCAGCCACGATGTTAACAATTGATCATCTCCTACATATTTTTCCAAACAAAAGATTAGAATATGGAATTGTCCGTTCCATACCTCCACCTAAGAAAAACATGGTCTTTTCCCTGTCCCTTTAATGTCACAAACGAGCTATTATCGGGCTACTTTCTCTGTTGCTTTAATAGAGACAGAGAAAAACAAACTCCTGAAAAAAAAAATAAAGAAAAGATTATTTCCCAATTTAAGGATTAACATTGTTATTAATAGACTCCTGGGGTGAGGTACTACCATCTGCTAAAAGTTATACAGAAAATAGGCTAGTTTAAAAGTAAGACTAGAGTTATTGTAGTATAAACAACAGAATTTGGGGTGTATTTCACTGTACATCTGATGTTTTTATTCTTCAGGGAAAAATTCTGTTTCTTTAATTTTCTGAGGGGCCCGTGAAGATGAAAGATGATTAGACGAAAAAGGTGACTGGTGCCCTCAGATTTTTCTTCACCGAAGCTCAATCGGGAAAGGGCTAGAGAGCCGTGGAACTTTTGCTGTGTCTGAATCTTAACTCCTACTTGTATCAAACTCTGGCGGAGGACAAAGCAGGGTGTAGGCACTTGTATTCGTTGTGTTTCCCCGTTCTATCTCTTTTCACACACGCCTACTTCAATGTTCCTAGTGTGAAAATCCCAACCAAACTCTCTGCTTCAAACCAGGGCCTTTATATGTTTTGTGCTGTATTGTATGTGTCAGAAACAATGTTTTGAAATAAAAGAAAATCAGAAGTTATGAAGCATGGACGTTGACCATGGGTCCAGCAGCCGGGTTTTTCTGTCATCTGCTTGTTTTTTCTCTTCCATACAGGAACAGTGTGTGCCATCATGCCCCGCTGGCAACGGGAAATACTTGCCTGTCAGAACGGGCAGTGGAGAAGGATCTGGTTTATAATCTTAAGGACTGTGACAGTAGCTTTATATTCAGGTCTTGAGTTATCTCAGGGACTCTAGTCATTTGATTGTGTTGTCCATGTGTAACTAAGATTTCTTTTAAAATAAATTTCCCTCCATGAATTTGGGAAGCTTTCAGAGGGCGTGTATGTGTACATGTGTGTGTGTGTGTGTGTGTGTGTGAGAGAGAGAGAGAGAGAGAGAGAGAGAGAGAAACTTTATGAAATCTCAGACCTAAATGAAAATACCTATATCTACAACAGACTGGCTTTTCTCCCCAGCAACTTTTCTCAGCATGGGTCTCTCCTTTCTTGGCTCAGGGCGGTCTCCCAGGCTGCAGCCCGGGTGCCAGCAGCCTTCCGTGTCGGGGTTATAATCAGAGGAGGCTGGGGATGCTGTGGGGTGGGGGGCAGTTACATGCTAGTGAGCTGGGTGTGCCCATGCTTTGTCTGTACTCTTTCCTGTGTGCACAATCTATCTGCAAATAAACCCGTCTCTATTTTATTCATAGTTCTAATGGCAAGTCTGTGTCATGGTCTGAACCAGGTGGAAGACAGGTGCCCAAGGGACAGCACATGTGGCACCGCCTGTCTGTGCACGTGAAGGCCAATGAGACGGCCTGCAACCAAACGGCCGTCATCAAGCCCCTCACTAAAAGTTACCAAGGCTCGGGCAAGAGCCTGACCTTTTCAGATACCAGCACCAAGGCCCTTTACAACGTGGAGGAGGAGGACGCCCAGCCGGTCCGCTTCAGCCCTCCCGGCAGCCCTTCCACGGTGGTGCACCGGCGCGGGCCCCCCGCGGCGACCACCCCGCCCCTGCCGCCGCACCTGCCGGCCGAGGAGACGCCCCTCTTCCTGGCCGAGCCCGCGCTCCCCCAGGGCCTGCCCCCTCCTCTCCCGCAGCAGCCGCAGCAGCAGCCCCCGCAGCCGCAGAAGTCCCTGATGGAGCAGCTGCACGGAGTGGTCAGCAACTTCGCCACCGGGATCCCGGATTTCCACGCCGTGCTGGCAGGCCCCGGGGGGCCCGGGAGCGGGCTGCGGCCCTTGTACCCGCCGCCGCCGCCGCCCCAGCACCTGCAGATGCTGCCGCTGCAGCTGAGCGCCTTCGGGGAGGAGCTGGCGTCCCCACCGGGAGAGGACGAGGACGACAGCGAGCGGTTCAAGCTCCTCCAGGAGTACGTGTACGAGCACGAGCGGGAGGGGAACACGGAGGAGGACGAGCTGGAAGAGGACGAGGAGGACGCGCAGGCGGCCAGCAAACTGACCCCGGAGGATTCACCTGCCCTGACGCCGCCGTCGCCCTTCCGAGACTCGGTGGCGTCGGGCAGCTCCGTGCCCAGCTCCCCAGTGTCCGAGTCGGTGCTCTGCACCCCTCCCGACGTGTCCTACGCCTCGGTCATTCTGCGGGACTACAAGCAAAGCTCTTCCACCCTGTAGAGGGGAGGGGTCCCCGTGGGAAAGGAGAGAAGCCAGGGAGCACCCTCACCTCCGGGGGTGTGTGCGAGGCTGGGCGGAGAAGCGAGCGAGGAGGGCTGGGTCGGGAGCCAGGAGGACGCTGCTGCCGCGGCCGCCGCCCTAAGTGAGGCGACAGGGAAAGACCCCTAGCAAAAGTGATCCAGGCCAGGATTCTGATTCTTGAGTTATTCAGAAGCCTTCTCTGGGAAGAAAGGGAATTCTGACAAAGCACAAGTCCATATGGTATGTAACTTTTATAGCAAAAAATAAAACAAACAAATACAAATAATAAATGAAATCAACAAAAACAATCTCCTCTTCTGCACAATTGCGCACAGCTGTACATGCCCACACGCATTTGGCCACACTGAGAAAAGACAGCTCGGATGGATGCGCCAGTTGAATCATGAGTTCACCTGGTGGTACTCACGGTGGCCAGGGAGAGCCAGACAGAAGGGGTGGGGCAGGGGAGGGCGCAGGCGGTGGAGGCGCCCAGTGAGCAGGTGAGGGGACGGCAGCTCATTGCTCAGAAGCCCTTCTCCCTGCTAGGCGACAGACTCCTGGTCTTCAGTAGTCAAGGACCTGGCACCCCATGCAGAGTCAGCCTTGCCAGGTCACTCGGAGAAAGGTGCGTGAACCCCTTGCTGCTCTGCGATTTCCCCCTATTTAGGAAAACAGGAAGAAGAGCAAAAAGGGATAGTCCAGATGGATGTCACCAAAAAGTGCTTCGTGGAGAGTGTTACGGAGGAAGGAGGGAGAAACAAGACGACATCTAAGCATGTGACTTTGAGCAAAATCAGTGCCATCGGCTTCCCATGTTCCACGCTCTTATTGGTAATTTTGGAAAAGGGCCAGAACAAGAGATTGCCTTGAGAGTGGCGAAGACCTTTTGTGGATTAACTCGTGTTTGTGCCAAATGGGCTCTCCATTGCCCTTCAGTTAAAAGAGAACAAACCCAGGTGGCAAAATTGTTACCTTCCATTTACTGTAGCAAATAATACTTACCAGTTGAACTTCTAAGACATTGTCTATATACAATGTGGTGCCATTGTTTCTCCTGTGTACTATGGAAACAAATCCATCTTTGAACCTAACGGTGTACTCCTAGCAACTATTACTGGTTAAATGACAAATAATTACTTCCTATTGTCACTAAGTCCCTCCAACTAGTGAGTGGATGTGTTCCCTTGTCCTTGTATATGTGTGATTATAAAATCTGTGTAACGTAATGTCAATCTGAATGCAACTAGAAGAATGTCTTTGGGAGATAGCTATTTTTTATGTTCCAATATTTCGTATATCAGTGACACCAATATCCACAGAAGCTCTGGGAAGGTTTGAATACTGTGGCCCAGTGTTTTTCAGAGGCAGCTTAGATGGCCATTCCTCTTCTAACAGGGAGCTTCTTTTTCAGATATTTTATGATGTGGAAATATGTTATTCATGAAATGGTTTGAAAACTTATTATGTTAAAAGTCCACAAAACCTGAGCCTGACATTAAAAGGTATATTTTGTAAGCTTGAAGACATCATTATTAAAACGTAAGATTTACCAGCCAGTTATTATTCCAGGTTTAGATTTTTTTTTCAAGATTTCCCATAGTTATTTAAGCTCTGTGTGTTTTTAGCATACTGTAACATTTAAGCCAGTCATAATTTTTCAGATATTTATTCATCACTCACATTTTGCCTTCTTTTTATTTTCATGTACTTTTGCTTTGGCTATCATAGCTTTTCTTTACATTTTTATTATTTGCTGTTATGTAATAGCCATGGACATGTAATTCTCTTATTCCATCTTTACCCTCCCTTTTTACATGCAATAAAAGGATTTTTTTTTTCTGTTTTGATTTCTTTTTGTATTTGTGGAATGAATCCTATCCCCTTAAATATCTTTGTTTATGCCTTATGTTCAGTCATATTTTAATATGCTTCCTCCATGTTGAAGCCGCTGATTTCTCAGCCAAAAATCATCTTAGAATCTTTAAATATCCACTACATCATTTGTTCAGAACTTAACATCAACTCCAATGTTGGAGGCTTGTGTTTCTTACGTTTCACCATATTTAACTGCCAAGTTTAGTTAGTTCCATATCAAGAATGAACTGCCTTTCCTTTAAAAAATCATCTTAAAACACCTTTAGTGAAAAGACTTCATGACTCAAATGTGGATTTTTGTTCCATGTTTTCGTTGTAATGAAGCAGAATGGGGGAAATTAATGAAGGGTCCCAATGTTTAATAGGTAGATTGCTACTAATTGGAAAACTTGCAAGGGTAAGCATCCTATCTATTATTAGTGAAACATTTTTTATCTTAATGTCACTAACACAAGTCTTTAATATCACAGGATGTGCGCATTCAGATTTTTTTAAACTTAGAATAGATCAGGAAAACAACTTCCATTTAAATGCAAGGTGTTCAGTGAACACATCCAACACCGATCACATTACTACTCTGAATGCCTACTATTATGATTACAAGTTTTTCTAAATAATAGGAGTATTAGTTCCTCTGTCATAATTGCTCAAAATTGAAGATGTACACACACACATACCCTGTACCAAAAGGGCAGAAAGTCTTCACCTTAATGTATGTGCTTATACAAGTTGTTCAGCTTCTTGTAAAAGTGTTTTCCTTTGGCTCCTGACTGCCTTTGTCAAATAATCTTGATAATGCTGAATAATAAATATTTTCTATTTAATAAATGTGTACGTTCCTTCTCTTGACTACATATGAGTTACAATACTAGACTGGTATTAGAAATTATCCCAATGGTTTGAATTTGCACAGAACACATCTTCTAGGTAGAAGTTGGAGACCACTCCCCCCCCCCCCAAATCGACAGATCAGGTTGGTGACAAAGTAGAAAATAAGTTGATTATGAAGAATGTGGTAACTTAAGGCCTGGGCAGCTTTACATAAAAATCCAAACTTAAAATTTCTAATGCCCCTGGTGGATATTGTCATTCATGTGTTTGGTAGAGAATGTGAGTGTTGACAAGCTCCTACAAGGCTTCTCTGTCCTTGATTCACCCTGTAGGGGATCTGGTTTCTGACCTTGTTCATGTCTGTCTGCTCGCCCCAAGTTCTGCTCCTCTGAATTTCCATAGAGATGTCACTGGTTTCTAAAATAAGAGGGTTCCTGTCACTTTCTCTGCCATGAGATTCACACACAGTAGGACATTTCCCAAGTATCATTCAAAAAGAGGATATGGTGGTGTGAAGCCCATCCCTGTGGCGCATTTGAGGGTAGGAGCAAGCCCCACACAGAAAGGCTGATACTGAAGAACTAACCAGAAAAAGAGGCTGGAACACCAGGGGTGTCTTCAGTTCCCAGCAAATAGAATTAGAAATCATGAAATGAGAGCTGGTGTCTCAGGAGAAAGAAGTCATAGTAGGGAGAACGAGAGACAAAAACAGGAAGAAAAGATAAATGAAGAAAAGAAAGAAGAAAAAGGAAAATGTTTAAGATGGTTTGTCTGTAGACATACCCAATTATCAGGTAGGTCACAAGGCCCTCCACGTGGAATGAGTCCAGAAGCTTTACCTAAAATGACTGGGATTAGAGTTCAGATGCTACAAATGATATAGAAACACCTGCCCTGTGTTTCCTACAGAAGACGCCCGGGGATGGAATGAAAGAGATTGGAATGAAACACGTTTGTGAACCTGGCTGGTCCAGCCACTGTGCAAGGTTCTTAGCATTCTTTGTCATTTCATCTTCCCAGCATTGAAACTTTAGAGAACTGAAATAACTTTCCCAAAGTCTCTTAGCTAGAAACTGGCCAAGCAGGGCTCCACTTTTAATTTTCAGCCAGTATAGAGCCTGTGAATTCATGTTCCTCTCCAGGGCCCAGGGGAATGTGTAGGATTTCGTTCCTTTTTACTGGGGATCAATTTTTCCTCCTGACTTCTGAGCCCTCTGGGCAAAGCAGACACTCAGTAAAGGGTTACTGAGAAAGTAATAGCAGTAAATGAATGTTATAAGTCCATGTAGTTTTCCCAGCCCAATTCCCTGAAGATTTATTCCAAGGTCATTACAGGGGCCAGAGCTTGCTATGTCCACCTACTAACCCTAGCTCTGTCAGCTGGAGCAACACATGCTTTAATCATGAAAAATAAGCTCTCCTTTTGGCATCTGAAAGAGCCCACTGGGCAGCAGGTCTCCCTTTCCTGCACAGAGAGAGGCGATACTCACTGTCCATTGAGCCCAGCCAGAGGTCTAGCAAGGCAGTGCTGGGTGTGGGAGACAGCGCCCACTTGAGCAGAACTATGGTAAGACATCCACTGCTGAGGCAGGGGACACTTTCAGCCAGGGCAACATAAATACCCCAGGGGGAAGCACAGGGTGAGGTTCCTTCAGACAGAAATATGTCTTCAGGAGTGTGGAATTCGAGCCCAGTTACCAAGGATTGGGACGGCATGAAGCAAACAAGAGTTCACTTACAGAGGTGACTTAGTAATAGTATAAGCAGAAAACTGGCTTGATTTTCTCCGGGTAGCTTGGAAAGGAAGACTAAGAAGTCAATAAATAAGAGAAACAAAGTTTAAGAATGAGGATGATAAAAACTGAGAAGGAAAAGGACGACAGGACCTTTGGAGTTGGAGGCAAACTTAGAAATCATTTAAAATAAGCTCTCGTCCCACGGAGGACTCCACTGGCCTGTGTCTTGTTTTCCTCCTAGAAGGTGAGAAGCCAGCCCTCACTGGGGTGGGCACGGGGCCATTGCCTACAGTTGCTGTGCCCGGGGAGAAGGCCTGGACTCCAGGAGAGCAAGCCCAAAGCCACATCGTTAGTCCACGGTACTGGCCAGAGCCCAGCACGCAGGCACAAAACCAGAATGAAGGTATCACAAGGCCCAGGGAAACCAGAAGGAAACCCCAGCAAGGAAGGCAACAGGGAGGCAGTCTGGTGAAAGTCCAGAAACCGCAATGAGGGTTTGATGAGAACCACAGAGGATTACGTGTGTGACCTGGGTTTATTTTAAGGGATAGCCTGATGTAGGTGAATTTTCCCCTGTGCTTAAATATTTCCAGGAATTAGGCTCTTGCTTTTGATAAGGGAAAGCTTTATTTGTTAGAAAGTTTTTCATTTTCCAGCGCTGAAACTTGCCTTTCTCTAACTTTTCACCGGAGTTCTGCCTTCTGGAAAAACACTGAACAAATTTAGTCCCCCATGCACATGACTTCCCCTCAGCAACTTGAGACCAGGGATTATGTCATTCCTCCGTGGTTTATTCTCCAAGTCAGTAGCTTTCACTTCCTTTAATTGTTATCTTTGT